CGGCTCCCTGGCCTTTAGCCCCCAGAATACAGCTTGGATACCTTTGAATACGAGACTGAGTGGGACGAAGAGCCAGTCTCGAAGCGGTGCCGAAAAGAAAATTCACTGCTCCGATTTTCCGGTAGTCCAACCCGTATTCTGGTCATTATACTAAATGCTTTAGCTAACTGTACTGTATGAAATGATAAGGCAGTGATTTCCAGAAACATAGGTAAAATTGCTTGTAAATGAAACCGACGTTGAGCTCTTCAAAGAAAATTTTGTACAGTACATGTGGCCTAAAAACAGACCGCCATATGCGCAGAGATTTTCCGACAAGGTTGGACGCCACGATCCTGAATTGCAGAGATAACTGAGTATATAGTCTCTGCATAAACGCTGCGTTATTCCGGATCCGCTCAGACATATTCCAGAGACTCCCAACCGCAGTTGTGGCACGCAGTCACAAACAGAGCCACACAAAAACGAACACCAAAAACACAGAAGAACGAACTCAGAGATACAGACAGAAACACTAAGAAACACACACGAACAGACAGGTATAAACATACACGGATTTAGAAGAGATTAGAATTGTGGTAGTTTCAGTTTGTTCTCTTTCTAAAAGGCGATGCTTATATTTTTCGTTTCCACATGACCTACTCTCAGTCCAATAGGAATAGCATTCACGAACATGAGGTACAACAAATAGCACGTCTTTCATATGTCAATACAGAGCTTCCCTGGTCGACAATAAAACTGTAACTAAAGGTTCCGGCATCAGTCCAGATCAAATCCAAAGATTTCTTGAGGACTTTCACAAAGTAACATAAGATTTTAACTGTTATTAAATTCGCGGTCTTCTTCTTCTTATTCTCCTCCTCCTCCTCCTTCTTCTTCTTCATCTTCTTCAAGAGTATAGGCCATTGGCCTCTTTCCGACTTCCAAAGAATATGTCCTTCTACTTAGCTATGGTTCTCCTGATAATTCGGTGTTCTGTGTGCTTTTAATTTAGTAATATCCTTGGGAGTCTGTCTGTTGTCATTCTTAAAATATGTTCGAACCAGTTTTTTTTTTTTACTTTTCTATTTTACCAGCTAAATTGAGTGTTTTTAATTCTGAACGTATGTGTGTACTCGTTTTTGACCTAGGAGAGTGTAACCAGCTGCTGGACGCAGGAACCTCGCTTGAGCTAACTCTTTTCTGTTTGTCTCATTGATTTATTGTCCATGTTTCATTAGCACAAGTTAGCGCAGACACTGCCACTACTTTATAAAATTTTAGTTGTGTACTTTGCACGGGGTTTCTTTCAGTGTTCTTCGTAGCGTTCCACACATTCTCTGGAATTTACTTAGTATAAAATTCATGTCTTTTCAGGCAGTATGATACATTAAAATACATTTAATTAAAATTTTATGCCTGTTCTATTGTTTTCTTATCTACCAATCTTATGTGGTTTCTCCCATGAAATTCCATAGTTTTACTTTTCGTGGTTGAAATTCTCGTGTTAAAGCGATTTGCTATTTACAAATCTGCTAACTACTCTCTGAAGCCAGTCCTCTGATTCACTGAAAACAGCTTAACTATCTGCATATAGAACTGTATTTAAAACTGTATTTTTTATTCATTGGCACTACAGCCCCAGTGGGCCTAGGCCTGCCTCCATGAACTTCTCCGTTCACTTCGGTTTTTCTAGATCTTACACATTCGGTAGGACTCCTTGGGCGGGTTATCAGCTCGTCACAAGGCCTCTACCTGTAAACAAACACAGAAAAATGCCCACACACAAATTAACATCTATGCCCTGAGTGGGATTCGAACCCACGATCCCGGTTTCCAAGCGAGCGAAGACAGTACATGCCTTAGACCGCTCGGTTACCGTGACCGGCTTAAAACTGTATTACTAATTTTAAAATCTTTGCTTAAAACGTCTTGTCATTGAGTTTGCCAATAAATATATTAAATAAATTTGGGGGATATTTGACATTGGACGGTCTTTACCTCCGACTCCGTAAGGCACGTTGGTGGCAAATAACGATATTTATCCGTTCCAGAATTTAACTACAGACTTCTTCATTTTCTCATTTTTAGGGTAATTTTTTGGTAAATTTTTGGACTTTTAAGGGTATTGCTTGTCATTTTTGGCCATTTTAGGGAATTTTTCTTCATATGTTTTCTGAAACGTGAATAATATGGAAGCGAAGTGTTCTTTCTCTTTCTCCTTTAGGTCATTTTTCTGGATTTTTTTCGGTCATTTTATAGGTCATTTTAAAAATATTTTCAGGTCATCAAAACCCGAGCCCTGCATATTATATTTTTGTGTCATTTTTCTGGATTTTTTCGGTCATTTTATAGGTCATTTTTTTAAATATTTTCAGGTCATCAAAATCCGAGCCCTGGTGATTACCTTCATGCTCCGACCTCCCTATTGCCTAGAAAGAAGCTTCTGGCACCCACTGGGTCCTAGAATAAATCTGGACGCGGTGGTGGAGAGAAAGTCTGCCCCCAATGGGAAACGAATTCTAGTCCCCCAGCATGTAAAGTACGTAAATACAATTTCTGTAGGTTACTTTCAAACCGCAGATCAGAGTGGCGACGCGGTCTAACGCATTACGTCTTCGCTCCCTCGAACACTAGGATCGTGAATTCCCATCTCACTCAAGGCATGGATATTTGTACTCTGTTTGTGTGTAGGTAGAGGCCTTGCGACAGGCTGATCACACGTCCAAGGAGTCCTACCGTCTGTGTAAGATTAAGAAACTGAAGTGAAAGGAAGCTTTTCAAGGATAACTTATGCTCCAAGTGAGTGCAGCAGGAATATAGCTAGATAGACGGATAGATAGATAGACAGATTTTCAAACCCTAGAAATTCGCCTGAAAATTTTTTATCTCAGTGGGAATTATGCTCGAATCGATATTATTGTGTCTACCTCAGCAAAATGTCTGTTGCGTAGCTCTAGACAGTAGTGCTGCTTAGTGCAATTTGTTATTCTGTCATGTTTAGTAACGCATGCTTACAGCTGTCGTTCAAGAGATTTTGAAGTTCACAGTGTGCATACTGTGAGTCGTGATCCCGAACTCTCCTTTGTAGCTATGACAAAGCTAGTTGAACTAATTGGAAAGGACGTGGGATATTTTAAGGTAACCTTTGCCTGGAAGTACGGAGAGAAGTCACGATAACGATAGAAATGACAGTTTCATGCTGAGATCGGAAACCAGGGCTTCCCGAGTCCATCACCACATGAATATAGTAGAATTGGAAGATACACGTTTTCAACCAACTTAAAGAACTGTCTCATTATTAGTCCGAGGGGTCTGAAAGAAGTCTGTGGGAGCAGCAATGAAGCCCGTCCTGTAACTCGGCAGAGCGACCTCCTGGGTATTAACCACATGTTCGTGCGCTCTTCTATTTCGCTAAAGACAACCTCCGTTTAAACTTAACAGGTTACTGCCCAATTATTATTTATTTGAGGTTTATATAACTGCACCGTCAGTAGTTCAGGCTATATAGTCTGTGGTATCAAATGACAGGGTCATAATTAATATCACATTCAAAGGAAGGGCGGGGGGGTGAGCAGTTTTGACCCAATTTCAGATTATAGAGTGTAATTTGCCTGGTCGGAATGAAGAAAACCACTAACGACCTCAGGATAACCGGTTTCTCGTCCGACATTTGAACTCGGGCCTCCCGAATGGGAAACATGAGTGCTGCACACTCAACCGCAATATTCGATTCTGATTGCTATTAAAAGATGTATATAAGCTTGTGGAGCTGGTTTTGGACTTCTCTCTCCATTTGAATAAGACGGAAACTGGACATGGCAGCAAATGTTATGTTTAGAATCATGATGGCAGTAAAGGGGTAAAATTAACTTAACTAACTTAACTAATTAAACACTAGGTCATGAAGGCGTGTGGGGGAGTGGATGTATAGACCCACATATGCTTGACCTCGGCACATGTTGGTGAGTGGTCAGTTTCAAGCAACCGGCCGCTTTACATCCGGTAAAATAGCCCCAGGTACCCATTCTGTAGGAGGCTTGGTGGGCCCCGATCCCAGTCTTGACGACGTGGAAAACAGAGGAAATATTTTCCCTACCGGGACTCGAACGCCGACCTCTCGGGCAGCCAGCACGTATACCGACTCCACTACGTCGGAACTTTACACGAGAAAGTGTTAAAACATTACATATTATTGGTATTATAAACTACATTTTCCGTCTTCAGTTTCATGGACCGAAAACATAAGGTCATACGCGTTAATCGGATAATAATCGAAAGTAAATATGCCGTCAAGGGCCAATCGATTAATCTCAAGTCGCAAGAGGATAGAAAAAATTTGATTTGTGTATAAGGCGCCAAGATGTGTAGATGCCTTAACGACAAGATATGGCGGAATTAACATCAAAGATTGTAAACTAAAGCAAGAATTTACAAATCAATTGTCACGTCTTACTCCGTCGCGACACGAACGGGTGCTTCTAAAGCAAAACAATTATTAAGAACCCGAAGAGATGAAAACTTAAAAGAAGGTACTTGGATAAACAAGATTAGCAGACAGCAATGTGAAATCCAGCCGATACGAGAATGGATTTTAAAACGGAGAGAGGAATGGGGTAATTAATCGTATACTCGTATATTAAGAATGACGGAAGACAAAATTACTAAAGAGTTGTGAGAGATAATATACCAAAAGGAAGACGTCCAGGAAGACGCAACAAGCGCTGGTCCGACTACTTTTCTTCAAGAAACAGTCTACCAGTCTCACCGAAAGAAAGAAAGAGAGAAAGAAAGAAGTGTATTATTGGTTTTCCACCAGCGCATCCGACATACTCACTAGTGTTTAATGGAGAAATCAGTGTTACATTGGTTGCTCATACATGTTTGATTATACTGAGCAAACTGCATGATTATGTTATGCATCTTTCTTTCTTTCTAAGATCTTTGCAACTGGTCTTGCTATGCAATGAATGTGGACGGAGAATAACAGACAACGCGGCAGTTCGCTGTGTAGCGGCTAGTAGTAGGCTGTGGAAAGTCGGGCGGAGTTGTATCAAGAGAGCAGTGTGGTGGTGAATGGGATGGAACAAAACAACTACGATCAAGTGTTTAGCATGTCTGTAAACAGAAAAAAGAAACACTTCCCTTCAAGTGGCTGTCTCTTGGTGTGTAGTCCAGTGAATGTTTTGCATGAGAAGTCTGCTACGTTGCGGCTTCTATGAAGTGTTGTGTAGCTACTAGATGTTTAAGAGAATTATCAGCCTATTATTGCGTGTAGCAATTTGTTAGGCAGTGAGTGACGAGCTTCATTGTTACTGTGTTAAGGGTGTTAGTTCGCGTCTGCAGCACATGCGCACACGTCTTTGTGCTTATTTTATTTATTGATTTTTGGCCCCCTTCTACCGCCACTTCAGCCTCGTCGGGTCTTTATGTTTCTTCTTTAAAAATTTTCACTTTTCCTCTCGTGTAATGAAACGAGTGACAATCGAAATGCAAAGTGATTAGGAGTAAAAATGTTTTTGTTGCGTACAACACGATCTTAGCTGAAATAACCGTCACGAAAAAGTGCAGCAGTTTTGGCAGGAAGAGAAAGTAAATTAAATTATGTATTTTTTTGTTACCTTGATGCACAATTTTGTTTTCATATATCCGGGCAGTGCTTCGCAACGACTGTGGACCTGCAGTAATACCGTGTTCTGGAATTTTAAAGGCAGGCAGGAGTGTGACAAAGACGAGAAATAGCCGGGAACCGTCTGAGCGAGCAGCATCAGGTTGTGTGGTGATGAACCGATGGTTTGGTTCAAGGACTCGGAAAGCGACAGGTAAGCCAGTAACAACCATAGCGCTATTCGTATTGCATTGGCCGTGAGGCTGTGGAATATTGTACAATTAACGATAGTTTTCCATGTTCGTGGTGCTTGGGGTAACGGCGACGGTTTTACCGTGGTCATATGGGCTCATCATCTACCTTACATAGATATACTTCTCGCTGTGGCTTTTATGTTGGCAGTTATTTGATAACTGATTAGTTCCTGTTTCACTAATAATTGATTTGTAGCTGTTCCACCTTACTCTCAAAGATGAACCCAGAGACACATTGCAGCGTAAGTCTGTACGAGTATACCCTAAAAGTTCCGAATAGTATTTCAGGCTCCTGTTTACTAAGTCTCTGCTAGTCGATATACCATTTAAAATGCGGTATTTTATTAGACTTTCTTTACGGTATAAGATAATTGGGTTTGAATATTGTCACTAAATTAAACGGAATATTTCTGCTCCTCTTAATGTACGAATTTAAAAAAGTAAAACCAGACCTTTTGAAGTACTATAAGAATGAATGTATAAGGGGTAGGCCTTCTTGGCCCTTGCACCGCGACCATAGTGATCTATTGCGCCTAGGCTCTGAAGTACCAAGACCTGCGAGAGTAATCAGGGAATCAGTCACTCGTCACCAATTGTGTTATCTCCTAGCGCCCGGTGCTTTATGAGCCCGGGCCTCTATTTGTAATGGTCCTGCTTCATTTTGAGCCCACTTTTATTTCCTTGATGCTCGGCATGAAGGGCTGAAGAATATTACTACGAAGGGTATAAGTTGGTTTGAATGCCTTTATACCAATGATATGTCGTTATTTCTGACTTCTACGGAGTAGGAAACGTGTTTCAAGCAATCGTTGTATTTAGACTAATAATAACTATAATAACATTCGAAATAGAAAAAAAATGCGTATAACACTATGACACAAATCAAAACTGACAAATTTGACTAAGTATCTCTTACCGAGAACAGCAGATATTGTTATCCATATTTAATCGAAGACTTAACTGGTACAGTATCAAACAAAACAAACTCAAACTCCGTGTTTTTAGTCTGCAAGCAAACTATACCGACCGAGTGACCGCCGCTTGTCGGCGAAGTTAGTGCCAATTGGTACAGTATATTACTGAAAACATGTAAACAAGATCTAAAATAATCCAGGCAAATTCTAGTTTTCCACCCTGACCTCAAAGTTTTCTTATATAAGTTGTAGTTATGTGGATGTAATATGGATATCGAGTGAAATTTCCCCGTAAGAATCAATGGAAATGACTGAGATCTGCTAATATACAAACAAACAAACAAACAAACTAACTAATTCGGCCGCGCCATAGCTCAAGCGGTTAGTCGCTGGCTTCCCACCGCGGCGGCCCGGGTTCGATCCCGGGTCTGGTCAAGTGGGATTTGTGGTGGACAAAGTGGCGCTGGGGTAGGTTTTCTCCGAGTACTTCGGTTTCCCCTGCCAATCTTCATTCCACCAATTGCTCCACAATCACCCTCACCTATCATCTGGGGCTGGTACAGTAGGCCAGAAGTGGCCGCAGTACAAGGGACTTTTTTTTTATTGCTAGTGGGGTGGGACTAAGTCCCTTGTACTGCGGCCACTTCTGGCCTATTGTACCAGCCCCAGATGATAGGTGAGGGCGATTGTGGAGGAATTGGTGGAATGAAGATTGGCAGGTGAAATCGAAGTACTCGGAGAAAACCTGCCCCAGCGCCACTTGGCCACCACAAATCCCACTTGACCAGACCCGGGATCGAACCCGGGCCGCCGCGGTGGGAAGCCAGGGACTAACCGCTTGAGCTATGGCGCGCCTACAAGGGACTTAGTCCCACTCCACTAGGGGAAAGAGAGAGAGAGAGAGAAAAAAAAAGAAAGAAAGAAAACTAATTCCATGGAAATGAATCCTTTCTGAGAAGCCAACAGTTGCTCAACCATTTAAGAAATTCCCAAAATTTTATGGAACAAATTTCGTTGCCATGTTAAGAAAGCCCACCACTGGACCACTGTTCCTAACCTGACCCAAATGAATCCAGCCCAAACCACCCCAAACTATTTCTCTAAGATCAATTTTAATATTGCAAGATTTGAGGTTCTCACAGCGGTGGCTATGAAGAGTACTATCGTATGTGATGTAACGCCGTGCAGATTGGCTTTCAACAGATTATATGGCGTTAAATCCCAGAGAATAGAAATCTCCAGTTTTAATATTATTCTCCTATTTAACGTCTATGTATATCACAATCCGTCAATATTGCAACAGTTGTTGCAATTGAAATGTTCAGTGACCGGAAAAGGGTAAAAACTGTGAAAATTGAGCTCTTAAACAGTTTTGCTCTTGTAACTGGCAGGTGTTACGTGTTAAATGGTGAAATTGGAGGAATAAAAAAAACCGATTGTTGCATTATTGACGGACTGTATATACATAGACGTTAATTAAAGATTTGTAATAGGACGCTGAAATACAGAATTATTCTCCTACCTACGTCTAGGTCTTCTTAGTAGTTTCTTTCCTTCCGGAATTCCCGCCAGAAACTTGTATACATTCTGTTTCGCTCCCTTGCATGCTACACGTCCTTCCTATCTCATTCTCCTTATATATGGCGAAGATTATAAGTTCTGATGTCCACATTACGTAGTTCTTTCGAACCTCCTATCATGTCATCTCTCTTAGGTCCAAGTAGCCTTCTCAGTAAATTGTTCTCAAACGCCCTCAGTCAGAGACCACACTTCACACACAGAAAACTGCAGGCAAATTATAATTTTATATATTTTAATGTTTACGTCTTTAGAGTGCCTGCTTGACACTAACTTCGCCGACAAGCGGCAGTCGTTCGGTCGGTATAATTCGCTTGCGGACTAAAGCCACTGAGTTTTTTTTTTTTTTTACGTTTTTAGACAGAAGAGAAGGAAGAAAGAAAGGTTGTGAACTGAATGATAGCAAGCATTTTGAGAATTCAGTCTGCTCTTGATTCCTCTTGATTTGTTACTGTCGTTCTCAGATGTCGGAAATTCGCCATTTTTTCAAAGGATCGACCAGGTATCTTTATGCAATGATTGTATCCCGTGTTCTGGTGACGAGACATGAACACCATGTGTTTACCTCTAGACCAGTTTCCGTACTAGCTTATATTCTTATTATGATGATTATTCAAATTATATAAACTACAGTATTATATTTAAGCATCATGTTACACTCTACACGAGATATGACACAAACTCCGTCCTAAGTGCAACAATTTATTGTGGTGCTTTCGTCTTCCTTTCTTCTACACTACATGTTTCGGCCGCAAATGGCCATCATCAGGTGTATACTCTCACGTAGCTGCTACACTGCACGTAGTTTAAAATTTAAAAACACTAGTCTTCCAATTGTTCATTTCCCCGTTGCTAACAGGTTTCGATATATCAGAATCTTCCCCGCTGATATCTGTCTGATATGTACAAAATGTTTGTTAACCTACACACGTCAATTTGATTTTTAAAAAACTGGCACTTTTAAAATTTTCAATTTCTATTTAAATTTTTCTTTAAAATTTTTTCAATTGTTAAAATTTAAAATTCTCAGGGGTACCCGCCCTATGTCTATAGTGCTGCAGCGGCTACTTCTTGTTTTCAGCAGTGTTCAGGTATTATTCTGTGTAGGCTCCCTGTGTGCGTGCCGCTGCTTATCTTTAATACGTGTCTACTACCTCGTTTTTCTATTTTGTTTGTGTCCATTTAGTTTCTTCTCTTACTTGTTCTTACTTAGTAACTGGCCTTTGGGCTGGTAAGTTATCACATAAATAAATAAGAATGTAATTGAATTATTATTAGGTGGCGGTGGTGGTGATGGCGGCTATTTAGTCAACACATAAATTAAGAACTGAGTTATTATTATTGTTGTAAGGAGCCGCGATAGCGTAGTGGGTTCAGCTACTGGCTAAGGGCTGGACGGTAGAGGAGTCGCGATAGGGGCAATATTTTTTTCCTCTCTACTTCGTCCAGACCAGCTCTGGATCCATCCCAACCTCCTATCCAATGGGTGCTGTGGGCTCTTTCCCCGGAAGTAAAGGTGAAGCTGACCATTCGCCAACAACTAGTGCCGAGGTCACAAATACATGGATCTGTGCATACACTCTCACACACGTCTTCATGGCGTGGTGCGTAATTACTCTAAGTTAAGCAAAGGAACACTTTTACCTTTTTTACCATATTGTTGTGACAATAGTTAGTGGAGCAGTAAACAGTCCAAACCTGAGTAATCGGTCTTTCACAGTTCATGATCAAGCATCACTTGTTTGGCACTATGTAATTAGTGTGCAACTCTGACGTAGCAGTGAACTAATGAGTGACTCATCTCACTGGGAACTCAACTCGAAAGAGACGCAAAATATACGAATATAGAATTACAACTATTCTAACAGAATTTTCTCGACTACTCATTCCCTGAAAGCGAATTCTAGATTAGTTCCACAAAATTTGGCAACTCTTCCACTATAATCGTAGTTCTGTCTTATGAAATCATTGCGAAATAAAATGAATTAAAATAAGATTCGCAGCTTTCATATGAGGCAGACCTGTAATAATTAGAGATTTAACACGACTGGCTGATTTCCTGTTATTTTTAGCTCGTGGTGATGTGATAGTGGCTCGTCTCCTGCAATACAAGAGCCATGTGAGATACGTACAAGATATCTGTTGAAATAAATCAAGTTAACTTGTCAGACTTTAAATATTGGTCGTCAGAACCCACGTTTTCAGCACAACATGGCTTCTGTTGTCTCCAGGTTACAGAAAGTTACATTATGAATTGGGGCTCACTTTTATTTCAGTGGCGTGTAGTTCATTCTTCACACTTTTCGACTGAATCTTTCTTTGATTGCTCGAAATAAAGGATACATTTTTGTTCTAATAAAAATGCAATAATATATATTAGCACTTGGGATTATATTTCTAGCGAGTTCAGTACTCCGTAGTTAGACTCTTATGGTGTCTATGGACATTGGGCATGTGGAATGAACACT